TACTTTAAATTCTACTTTACCTTTATATTATATAATCATTCATAAAAAAAAACAAAATCAATTTATCACCTTCAAAAATTTAAAAAAAAAATCAAAATAACAAAAAAATTCAAAGATTCAAAAGTTTAAATATTAATCTACTTTCACTGATTTTTGTTTTAATTTCTTTTATTTTTCTTTCTTCTGTGCACTCTCTTTTTCTTCTCTTCCTCCTTATCCTGCAATTCATCCATTTATCTTCTTTACTATAAACTTTCTTCATTCCTCTGGTCTTTTATTTATTTTCTGCTTTCTGTCTTTTTCGGATAACACGTCTTAGTGACTCAATCTCTTTTGCATAATCTTTTATAATCTACACTCCTCCTCCACTATACAATTTTGCGTATTGCTATCTAGTCCTATTATTCATTTCATATATCTTCTTTGTACACTTTCCAGCTTTTCTTCTTCTTCCTAACCCCATACTTCCGCAGCCAACAACGCTATACTTTCTAATAGTGCCGTAAAAAATTTTGTTCTTCTATTTTCCCTTTCTTTTTTTAAATATTAAAATCTCTGTTTTATGAAATAAGTTGTTTTTGAAGACTTTACTTTAACAATTAAGTGAAATCCTTGAAATGAATGCAAATCTTAGGGTCAAGTAAAATCAGTTACAAAAAACAACGAGTAGGTACCCAACTCTTCTCAATTCTCCCTTCGTCTTGTTAATCATCGTCAAACCGCGTGTAGCACCTTGGGCGCGCAAAAACTAATTAAAACGAAATGCTCGCGCCTCCGAGGGTTAAAATGACGATGATTAATCGAGCCCGAGTCTAAATAGTCGCGAGTTGCGTTATTGTTTTGTTTTTACAAATAGACAATAGAAATGGGAAATGTTGCATGAAAAAGGATATTCAACCATGGCCTGGACGCCATTCTTTTTGAAGATGACGATGCGCTGCACCTGTCCGCTCGGGTGACTGATGGCGTGCAAGACTTCCTGAAACAGAAAAAAAGACACCTAGTATATTATATTTATCCATTTGCCTGTTGCGTAAACGAGTGAGCCCAAGTTGAGAAACGCCTCGTTTCCTCCTCCGTGCAAAGTTCAGTTCTTCCTCGCCGCGAAGAAAAATCGTCCCAGCCCTTTTCGCGTTAACCCACCGCGCGACTCGATCTCTCTCGGTGGAAGGTACGCTTTTGTTTTTTACCTCAAACAAATGGGGGAGGAAAAAAAATCCCCCACGGTCCATCACTCCTTGTACCCACAGGAGGAGCTTTACTTTCATGCATTTACCTGTGAGACACAGTTCACGTATGTATGTATATATATATACACACGTTATTTTTTTATACCAATGATGATAATAACGATTATATACGTAGAAGAGTATATTATGGCGTAGGAGCGCGAGGGCAAGCGATGACACGTTACGTGGCAAAGGGCCAAAAGTGCTTTTAGGTCTAGTTTTGCCGGGCGCTTGATTGATTGACCGACTGTCTAGCGGGCGTGCAAATTCCACCCTTCCCCCCCTATCTCCTAGCCGCCTTGTTGCTATACTGTGCCCCCCCATACGGTTCGTATACTTGTATACGTGTATCCCAACCACGCACATCAGGCCGGCTGCTTCTTGCGCAATTTTCACTCGCACGTCTCTCCCCGACGAGAGAGACTATTACGGATTCAGCAGAGGAGACGTCGAATTTCGCGATTATATTTAAATAGCTACGACTCCGGCTGTAGATTTATACGTGCAACCAGGAGTCGGCTAATTCGCCGTCCGCGCGAGCGCATTCCCAGTTTCTGGTCCAGTTGTCGCACCAACGAGTTGCCAATCTTATCCGAAATGACGTACACATGTCGTAGGTGTTCGCTTGGTATAATTACTTTTCTCTCCCTCTCTTGTCATGTATACTCGGTGACCGAGCATAACTAAGATGTATACTTGCTCTATATGCCGAACAAAACCTACTTTGTGTCCCGTGTATATTATTATACGCATACACCCACAGAGGGGTGTTGCGGTGTCGATCGATCCGGGAAGGAGAGGAGCATTTTGCTTGATTCAAGAGTCAGTGCCAATCCATCCGTGTATTATATAGTGAAACGAGCGGATCCTCATAGTGAGTGCACTGTGCAGTTGTGTGAGGTAGCGGCAGGCGAGTCAATCGTAAATTTCAGCTCGTCAATGGCTTCCCTTCTTATATACTCCCTCCACCTCTCTCTCTCTCTCTGTCTTCTCATGGCTTACTCAACTATTACGGACGAATGGGCTAAACGAGCGACCGTTAAGTCATAAAGCACATTCCCGTGCAACGCCAACCATAAAATATAAGTATATCACGCGTATGTTTGTGCTCGCTCTCTCGTGTGTGCAAATGGTATACGTGTATAACATAAATATATACTGCTCGCTGCATTTATCCCCCTCTGTATTTTTAGCCGCTTACAACCCCCCGCGTGCAAGTGTAATCGGTACTTACGATCCTTTACTGCTACTTCTTCTTCTTCTTCTTCTGTGATTATGCCACGTACATGTATACACGTACACGTGCATTGATGCGGGCATATTTGAAAAGGGATGCGCGTCCTCTCGGGGGTACAATCTAATTTGGGATCGTTATTGGAGTAGGAGCTTTTTTTACTGCGCTCCCTCGGAGGTATATATTGAAATCGACTCGCGGATCCTTCCGATGGAATAGGTATATAGATTTTCTCCTTTTCGGGGGAGGGGGGGATCGTCGGAGGAGAAAGAGCAATTTTTCAAAAAGCCGCGTGATTTCTTTCTTTCCCCCCTACTGCCAGCACCGCGAGGGAGATGAGAAGGAAGAAAGGAATCTGTGCCAGTGCACTTTGCTCCCCTTTCGCGGGCGTACACCTTATGATCATTGGTGCAGTCTATATATAGGCATCGTGAAGAAAGTAAAGCCTCGAAAAAAAAACAAAAAAAAAAAAAAAAAAAAAAAAAAAAAAAAAAAAAAAAAAAAAAAAAAAAAAAAAAAAAACTGAGAGTAAATTGGTGCAACAGAATCGCACAACAGCCGAGTTTGCCCCGCTTCTTTTTATTCATCCGCTATATGGCTACTATAGGTATGGCGCGAGTGTCACGTGTATACGTATACATGTATAGACAATTGTTCGCGAGCACATAAAAGGTTTAGCCGTCAAGCCATGCGTCGTTGTGTTGCTTCTTTTCTCTTACTTTTCCTTTTGTTGTTGTTGTTGTTGTTGTTGTTGTTGTTTTGTTTCTCCCCTGATGTACAACCGCGCATATATGTAGAGCGCGTCTCGGTACAAGCTCGCGTGCTCTCTCATACTCTCTCGGTGCCTATATGTGTACATATATATAGTTGGTATAGCCGCTTGGATCTATATTTAAACAGCAGCGTAACTGTGGCGGAACAGTGCTCTGACGACCAAACAGCCAGAGAGCGCGCACACGTCAGCCGAGGTAAGGGGAGAAAAAGGTTTGGGAAGCGAGTGGGTTTAAGGCGCACTTGATCACACATGCATCACGTAAGCACGGGAGAGAGAGAGAGAGAGAGAGAGAGAGAGGAAGCTGAACAGCTGCTCCGGGAGAGATAAGGCTCGATTGCAGCACCAATATTCGACGAAATCTTTTTAGGGAGGAATCTGCTCTCGGTGAACAAGGGATTTTCTTTCGCTTTGTGCATGCAGATATGTGTGCCTCGAAAAAGTGGCTCTGGGCTGTTATCGATTCCTTTCAGGATCCACCCCCCCCCTCTTCCGTGCACGGTGGAAGATAGCGATTCGGAGGGATACGCCTTACCAGCCCCCCCCCCTCGTTCTTTTTTTCCCTCTTATTTTCATTCTTTCGAGAAAAAAGATATCGACTTTTCGGCTTTTAAAATATTAAAAAGAAGAAGAAGAAGCTTATCTCCGGCGAAATCAAAGACGGACTGTGGAGCGGATTTTAAAGATATTTTATGATTATCGTGAGAAAAATGCATCATTTTGGTAGAGTCTTTAATCGAATCGCCATTTTATCAACTATATTCAACCGGATTAGCCAAGTCATGTGATTGTTTTTTTTGCCCCCTCTGGAATGCTTACAACAAATAATATATTTTCAAGTGAATACGTTGTGCAACCGCGTTGAACCATAACATACACCCTTGGATTGTACAACACAGTGTTAGTTTTCACTGCGTGCATCGCCGTCAATGAATTATCTCTGCTTACTATAGCTGGAGAGTATTTGGACCGCGAAAAAGAAGATAATGTGAATAAACACGCTTTGATTATTTGTACTAGTAATGTAAATTCAATTTCGCCACTTGGCGAGGCTACCGGCGTTTACGAGATTGCAACGCAAATACCAATAATTCATCGAAAGAGATCGAGCGTTTCGAAGACGCGTGTGTACTTCATTTTTGTCGACGCGTGTAGTTTGTTACGTAAACATAAAATTGTTATACTACATAGCTAAAGTGTAATTGTAAAATCAATGATGTTCGACTCACCACAGTGATCGGGTACACTGGATTTATGACGGTAAACAGTAGCACGTGGTTTGGCTTGTTGTTGTCTTCCCTGAAAAAAATAAATAAATAAAGTAAACGAAAACATGATAACATATGTTATGTGACCGAGCTCACGTTTTCTTGTAATTACAAAAAAAAAACCCGGCGAGCACCTGTTGTTCTATTTATATCGCTAATGGCATTACATCATTACCGATAAAGTTCATGCATCCACAAAACGATTAACGCAAATTTATCAGTGGAGCGTCGTTATTTCGACTACGATAACGATTACCGATTACCATGACAGTGTATTATCCTCGTACATAATAATAGGTGATGGGGGCCTGTTATCTCGTGTAGCAGTAATAGTAAACGTAAATATAACATTGGGTACTCGGCATCGCTACACGGTAACTCCGGCAGCTTATCAACCGATCACTACTATTTGGGAGATGACGTAACGGCACTGGACAGTTCGTAGAGGGAAAGATTCTACTTGGGATAAGTAAAACAATGTCGTGCAGGGGAACGAAAGTAAAGCTTTTGTGAAACGAAAGAAAAAAAAAAAAAAAAAAAAAAAAAAGATTCCGGAGAAAGTAGGGAAATAAATTGAAACACGGCGCTTCTTCTCTCCTCGCCCGACCATCATTGCAAGTAGCAGCGGTGGTAGACAGTCGAAGTTCACCAAAGGGAGTGCTGGTCGCAGCACTTTGGCCAAGTCTAATAATAAGAAGTTAAGCCGAGCATCAAGTGCGCGCGCGATTTGGGACGACGTCGACGACCACGACGATCAAGCCGGGGACCAAGAGAAGCGGAGTCAAGTCTACATTCCCTGCGAGGAATAATCCATTGTTTTCGCCTCCATTTCAAACTAGGGGGGGGGGGGGACAATTACTTTCCTTCGTCTTCGTCATCGGCTCATGAATAAAAAGTGACACAAGCTCGACGTGTATGTGTATATATATGTGGTTGGCTCACCTTTTACGCCGGGGCTCCTCGCCGTATCCGCTGTACTCGTGGTTCTGAAACAAACAAAAGGTTCGGCTTTTATGAGTCTCCTTTCTCCATCGGATGAATTAAAAGATATACGCCGTGCCCTTATCTACGTATATTGCAGCAGGAAACACTCGCGTTGAAAAAGAAAAAGAAAAAAAAAAAAAAAAGGAAAGGTCTCTTGGTGACGTAAATCACGAGGCTCAAAGTGCGAGAGTTGTCGCGCGCTCCAAAGAGCCCTTTTCCCGAAAAAGCCCCCCCCCCCCCAGGGCAGAGAGCAGCATTCGTCCGGAAATCCTGAGAGGTAAATTTTGCGCGCCCGCAAACAAGTGTCGCTAATTTATGATAATTAGCGGAGATATCGCGAAACAGGTGGCGCGCCGGGGAGGGTGGGTTTCAGCCGCGAAGATTGATCGCGCGATACGGAGATTTTCGGATTCGCGGGAGACGTAGCCCCGAGAGACCCGTAAACACACGCGCAGGAAGGAAATAAACGTCAAAACGGCAGTGCAAGGGAGGAGGAAAAAAAAAAAAACAAAAGATAGATCGGCGCAGGGGTGGGGGACGGGAATTTTGGAGGGTGTGGCGAAGGCGGCGGGCTCTATTAATAAAATGTCCACGTGCCGACGGGAATAGAGTTTACATCCACACAGAGCGGGTAGGACCTCGTAGGATCTCCGGCTGTACGAGCTCCGCTCTCAACGCTTTTCGGAGCGCATATAAAAGGGAGAGAGACGTTTCTCGTGCATTCGAGGGAGGGACCATTTGATTTTAGAGTGTGCACGTCACGTCGACACGGCTAGCGTGAATATAATCGTAAGTACGGTGGTGTAGAGTTGGACGGTCGAAAATAGGTATAGGCGAGGGCTTGCGTCGATGGATCGATCGCATATATTTATATACATGAACCGTACACAAATAGGTGCAACCCCTTGTTGCGATAACATGCGTTTATGTGCTCTCCAAACATTGTTCTCGGCTTTCGTTTGTTTGGGCTTTTCCCTGACATACCGAATAGTAATGCTGTTTTCTTTTTTTTTTTTTTTCGGGTGACGGGCCGAGGAGGAGGTAAAAAAAAACAACATTTACACTGGCGACTGATTATTTAATTTTCTCGCTCGGCGGGTGTAGCCGTGACGACGACGTTGACGAGACACGGCCCCACCCAAAGTTATTCAGAGGCCGTCAGAAATGTGCCTTGAAATTAGAGAAATACCAGCGCGTACGCGCATACATTACACACACCCACACCCACCCACGGAACAAACCAACTTTGTATATTTTTCACGCGTTGTATACTGAATAACAAAAATGCGCGTCTTTGTGTGCAGCATCCGGAAACTAATTTAACCCCAGTACCGGTTAGAACACGTCACGTGTCGTGCACATTTTTTTTTTCCCACGAATGTAAGCACACGTTTAATACCTACAAGGGTGCGCTATAGACTTGGAAAATCCATCCCTGGTGGGAGGAGGGTAATGTTAAAAAAAAGCGTATGAGGCGTGAAATTGGTCGTTCATTTGCGATTCTCTCGAATTTCCGGCAACTGCTGGGAAACGTCGAGAGAGAGAGAGAGAGACGTCCTGCCCGGAGAGTTTAATTTAAATTTTGAATTTTTTCGCGATTTATTTAAACGCACCCAACCCTACTTGTACACGTGCACGTCCAGTTTGAAACTCCCGGTTAGAGAGTGTACGTACGTGTGCCGACCTACATTTGGAACTATCTCTTCCGCGCGAAGCGATACCAACGCGGCGACAATGGTAATACGAAGAGTAGTTTTGGGTATTGCGCGTGAAAAAGAAAAAACGTCCCTGTTCGCGTGAAATAATGGCCGATCATGGCTCTTGGTGTCGTACACGCACTTATGCAAGTGGGTGTGAATTCCAGAGCAAAAGTAAACACGAGAGACGAGGGTAACAAGGCCGGTGTGCCCCCCCACATCACTATACATAGAGAGCACCGTGGCATCAGGGCACGTTTGAAATATTTACACAGATTGTCACTGTGCCCCCCTCCCGCGGCAGTTAGTGTTAGCTAACGGTGTCTTTGCACGCGTACATGACGTTCATGACAATGAGCGCGACGACAGGCCAGACTAAAAGCCCGGCTGGGCTCCGCGGAAACTATGCCCGCTCTTTACACGAGATGGTGTCTCCCCCGCACGCGTGTATATATATATGTATACCCATTGTGCAAGCGTCTGAAAAGGAAAAGCCAGTCATGGGGGCCGAAGCTTTTAATGGTTTCGGTTTATTTTGGATGGGGATTTTGTTCTCACGAAGCTGTAAATGGCGATCGGATGATTTTCGAGCCGATGATGAACTTGGACGTGTACTGTTTCGTTACCAGCGAGCCATTTTTAATTTTAATAGCTCAGCGTACGGATACATGACTCTTTGGAGCTTTCAAGTATAAGGAAGGTTGCTAACTTTGGCCCATCTCGTGAATTACAATTTCCCCCACGGAATAAAAAGCTACGGGCAAGTATATGTATGCTGTACGGTATTTATGCCCGCTTGGCCAATAAATTTTTTTGTTCTTCCCAACACGGCGGTAAGTGGGTATATCTTGTCTTTCCAAAGCGGATACGGGGCGGCTTTTCGAATTTGCTTGATTAATTTTCCAGCGTCTCTCTCTCTCGCGTTAATCATTCAGTGCTTGGATATATATATATATATGTTGTACCCGGCCTCAACTTTTTAATCGAACTTTGACAAAGTTTAATCCAAGCTTGCGCCTTTTTCCTCTTTTAATTGGCCAAAGACGGTCGAATCGACGGAAAGTTTCAGGGCAAACGACATCATTTGCACTCAATTATTTAAAACCGAGTTACTCTCCGAGTTGAGTATTATATGTTTTCTCGTTCTACACGATATTTTCAAGGTACATAATCAATAACCCTCGTCGTAATAAGTAACACCGGAATTCACGCGGGTGTCACGAGGACCATATTTTAATACATTTCGATGTATATAATCCAAAAAGTTATGAAAAACTGGACCTACAGTGCTTGAAAAAATATCCGAGGAAAATTTATCCAATAACAACATGGAAATATAATAAAGTGGTACTCAAAGTTTCCGCCACTTTCATTAAAGGTTGTATTCGACACGAACTGCCTCAAAGTGGCCCGGCTAATAATTTTTTATGGATTTTAAATCACCCTGGAAATTGCATACGTACACCCACACACGGGGAGAAAGTGAGAAGCGACGAGCTCGGCAGAAACACGGCCCGACTGATTCAGCGCGTCCGACGCGGGAGGCATGCAGCTGGTAAAACACAGCTATCGCGCCCAGGATAACTATTCGGACTCGGAAAGCCCTCCTCCCCCTCTCACCTCGGCTAGCTAACCACTGGTCTCGCCGACCGGCTCGTTGTATCGAATTTCCTGCTCTACTTTTCAAAAAGCCATCCGACGGCGCTATCTGGCTGCCAAAACTGCCGGGACGAGCCATTAAGCCTGCGCTGCTGTCCGTCGGCAAATTTATCCCCAACTCAATTTTACAATCGTAAATTGCTGACGACTACGGCGATGATCGATAGCGCGTGGATACATGTGCCCACGTTCTATTTTTTTTTTTTTTTTTTTCCAAATTATGATGGATATGCGCGAGTATCGATGTATAAGCGCCTTTTTTTCATGAAATTTATAATTTGCAACACGTAACAAAAAGTTGTAAATTTTATCAACTGAAATGCAATTACTCATGTTTCAGGGCGACAGAGAAAACCTTGAAGCAAATTTGGGAATCAAAGCCACGCCGGGCGGATACACCACAGTGCACTTACATATTTTTTTTTTTTTTTTTTTTTCTACCCAGTAGAGTTGGTGGCGAGCTGCTTGGATTTTAAACTAAAAGAAAAAATAAAATAAAATAAAATAAATGAAACGGAAGAGCACCAATACATGTAAATGCACTTTACGGCTTTTTTCCACGGAAAAGTGCAACTTTTTCTTACCCTTCCAGTTAAAAAATCGATTATTCTTTGATGAGTAATGCAAGATAAACCATATCTTGTGTACAATTTTTTTAAAATTATATTATATTATTATAAACACACGAGTAGTTATCAATTTTCCAAGTTGAGTGTGATACTCGTTGCATTACTAACGCATATTTTCTTCCCTACAACGGCAGGATGGAAAATCCTAATTTTGGTATCCCTTAGCTATGTATAACCTTCGAACGTGCGTACCCGATAAAATTAGTCTTCCATGGTATTGTGCGCATAGATTCGAACGCACAATCAAATATACATACAGTTGCGTTTTCAAATGTGCGCGCATACAAAACATATACATAAATAGCGGAGACTGCGGAGAGAGTAACAACGATGAACAGGTGGAATGGCGCGTGTAATTTATTTACGCTCGAAGATAGTCAGCGGCAGCGGCCGGCGCGTTGCTTTTAATTATAGTACAGCAGTAAGGTTGAACTATACCTCGGGCATCGAATCCCGAAGCTTCGACAAAAGCGTGTTTTAATTGAATTTGTATATATATATATATATATATATATATCGCCACCTCTGTCGTTGTCGCCGTAGAGAGAGAGAGAAAAGGAACGGAAGGCGGTTACTTACGCGCCCGTTGGCCGTATGGAAAAGAAGCAACAGAGTACAACGAGCCGGCGGAGATGCGGTGACCACGGGCAGTCGTCCAAATTCGTCCCGCAGTGGTCACGAACAGCGCACACGCGAATCAAGCTTGTGACCAACGTACATTATTGGGCCTGCCTATAATACGCGCGTATACAAACACTCGCACGCGCTCTAAGGTTTACAGTTGCATGTTTTGTCGTTGTAAAACCTAGCGAGGAAAAAACGCCTGTAAATTAATCGGAGGTTTAAGGTGCTTTTGTAGCTGTCATTTCAACACAACGTAATGTGCCATTTTACTCGCTCGAGGAGGCTCAAATTCTATCTTTGTCTATATAATTTTACGATTGAAAGCGAAAATCGTTAGTTAAGAAAAATTGTTGTCAATATTTATGTTGATAGTTTTGCGCACAGTTTATGTAC